TACACCAACCTATTTCGTGGCTATATCGTTCATATTTGTGCAGAGCACTGGGAGTTGGATTTGTACAACCACATTTAGAACAAGAGAGCAGAGCGTTAGTGTTTCGACTCAAAAACATGCGCTTCAAAGAGACTAGAGTATGTTTGGCACCGACAAAACCTCCCATTCTGGATAGCTTCTCTGAAGCACATGACCTGTGGACAGATTCACCAAAATTAAGGCGGTTATAAATTTCTTAATGTCTGTGTCCCACTGATAGCAAAGAAAAAGCCTTGTCTGACCAGCTGCATCCACGAACCTTTAGACACTTGAAAAATAAAGTGACAGGGCTGGTCTTACGAATCGAGATGCTGGAAAATCGCAACCGACGAATATATAACACAATTAATTAAAATATCAACAGTTACCAAGCGATGAAGCATTATAACTACTACACTGAGATGAATAGATGATTGTGACACGTCTTATAACGGCATTCGTACTGTATTATGGCGAAGGAGCGTTTGATTCTCTGAAAATGTCCTCAAAAGTCAGAAATGGATGAGGTTGAAGTAGTTTTGTATAAGAGACGTCTTTGGGAAACGTGGTCTATCAGCCTCACACCATGCAAATACAAATAGCTATAGTTCTAGACATTGTGAAACATATATACTAAGTAATAAATCAACTAAAGTTGATAGCCATCTTGCTTTTCTTGCGACCATTCCCTAAAGATCTTGTACTTTAAGCTCAATCGTTGCCGATGGTAGTTTCGAGAAGCAAAACGTTTTAGGCTAGTCTGGTCACTTTTTTCACGAGTAAATAGTTGCTATGTAAACCATAAAGCTTTACTAATGCGCACGGTGTGCATGCTAACCGTAGCGATAACTACTCGCAAATGTCTCATCTGTGGGAGCACAAAGCATATACGCAATACGTTCCCTTCCTCTTAGTACGATGGGCTAAGCTCACGCAAGGACATCCGACAAGATATCCGCGGGGATACCTAGAACCCCAGATGTCGCAAGATGGTCTACTGAAATGTAAAGGTCGCGTTCAATGGGATCCAGCTGTGCAATAATATCGTGGAAAAAATGATCTCTTTTTGATAACCGAAGCGTCTGAGCCTTCTTCATGCGGCTTCAGTCGCCGTTTACCAGGTAAAGTACGGTCGCTTTAACTCGTCTTACTTAGATATCGCGACACAAAGCCTCTTTACCCGTTCTACTGGCCTTGGCACAAAATACATTTGCTTACAGCGAGTTTCAAGCGTGACAGCTTACTCGAGGGACCACGGCATAAGTCGTTCGTTTTGTCTCAGTACACATCTGCTCTACAGACCGTGATATACGACAAACATCTCGATGCCGCTTCTTCCATCCGCTCTACTCAAGGCACACAGCGAAAGCTTTGCCAGATACTTTGAGCGATCTTTTGTTTCGTGCCAAAGATTCTAAGATTCCTGTTCCCTCCTGCTTTATTGCATAGTTGTCACATGACTCGCCAACGTTTCATCAAGATAGAGATGTGTGGCATCCAACTTTTTCGGTTTCCAATGAATCCATGGCTCATGGCATTCAAGTTAAGCAATTAATATAATGAGAACGCATCTCAGATTCAGCTCTAGGGCTAGACAATACTCAACGTTGTTAACGATCCCGAACTTTACTGAAAGGTTTGACATCATCTTCGGCACTTTTCCAGTAGCCTTACAAGACGCTCGGAATCATATCAGTATTTGCCATCTTTTATGCCTCCTCGTGTTGTGTACTATTTTTGACAGTCGCGCTTCGTCCAAAATCAAAGGGTGCTCGTGGATATAACAGATTCAGCTCATCTTCGCAAATGCCGGAAAGTTGATGTCAAATCCAACAACAAACAACCCTGAATTGGGAGCCCCACCCTCTGATAGAGAATAATTTCGTTTAGGCCGGATCTCATTCTCACAAATTTTACAAGGTACGAAAGGATCCAGTAAACCATCAGAACCTACTGGGGTTCGACGTCTTCCTGCGAAGAGGTTTTCAAACGACCCTGCATGTCAAATTGACCTTTCTTAGCTCTCAGCGAATGAAGGGGGGGAAGCTTCCAGCTTGCAGATATTTTATGTCAAGCTTTGCGAAAACCACGGAGTAGCTCGTTGGTTCCTCTTCCTCCTCGGTGTGGCTTAGGTCTATCACCTTTAGCGTGCTCTAGCACTTTTTTCATTCAAACACATTCAACCCTCGCGACACAAATGTTGTACTCCGCATCTGATGTGAAACCCACGGCTCCCTAAAAAGGAAGGGTTAGCGCAAAAGGGGTTTGCAAATGCACCTAATCTATGAAGCTGGTAATTTTTACCACCCTATCGAAAGAATTCAATGCAATCGCGCCGATAACAGCTCGTGAATCGCGGATATATTTTTTCCAAAATATAACCTCGCTAAGCATGGGGACAAGGATCTTAAAGGCACTCGCTACACCTGAGATTGCCGTGCACACTTCACGACGAATGTCACTTCATATTGTCTCAAGTTAAGGTTTTCTCTACTACGGTAATACCACACGAAGTGACCAATTTTCCCGCGCAGCTACTTGGTAGGGATACCGCAAGGGCGATGCGCTATTTCTCCGCGTGAAGCATGACTAATTTTATGGTCATAGCAATTTCTCATTCAGAGGGAGAGATTTCTCCCACCCCTTTTCTCATATAGGTGGACGCTGAAAGTCAGTAATTTCACTTTTGGAGTAGTTTATGCTCCCACCGACATCCAGGCCTGGTGTTTGTGGGAGTGTACCATCGGTGCTTTCGCGAAATTAGTGAATGCCTCATGGCGAGTGATCCCCGCATCTGGCTTTTTTTAAACAGTTCTTCTGTAAACAAAAACTTACCAAGCGTGTATAGCTCTCGGCGACAGGTAGTTGAACAGATTGTGTTCTATACAGAGAATAGACTCTAACTACACTCGGTCATCCGATTGACGACAAGCGCTACCAAATGCAGCCGAGTTGCCGTGCAGCTTGAAGAAAGGAATCTTTGACTCAACGAGACCATGTCAAAAATGCGCCGATGACGAATTCATACGCTCCTCTCCAAAGTAGAACTCAGAGCCTCTAAAGTCCGTGCTTATACAGGATTATTTCTAGTTTCTTCTTTACTTTCCTCAGAGCCTTCTAGTGTGTGGTGCTAATGTGTACATATACATCACAGTGTTGTGCAAATCTCTGAGGTATAAAAGTATCATTGGTAATGAGACAAACAAACTCCGTAAAGGTGGTGTTGAGTAGTGGAGAGCAAATGCCGAAGTGAATAAGTTAGCAGCTACACTTCCTACATGTCCGTAGCTACCTTATTGTGCGCCCTTCTTGTTCCCTGTGCCTCTG